TTCCAGGCATTATTCAGTTTGTTAGTCTGTCAAGACATCGAATGGATTTGCTCCGCTCGGGGATAACAAGAATTGGGAATCGTAGGATGCTCTTCCACTGCCAGCTGCTCAAATAGCAAATCCTGCAGTAATTGTCCGATTATGGCAACGCCTTCCACAGAGTGCCATATAAGTTGGGATATTTTGGGTGGGCACAATGACAAGGAACGAAAGAACTTATGCCATAGAGTAGCTCTTAGGAGTCCTCGGAGACTTCAGCTGGGAAAGCCACAAAAACAGAGCCTGTGCTCGTGCGGATTCTCATTAGCCTGCATTGCATTTGCTGCACTAAAGCATACTTCGCAATAGATGGGTGGAATAAGTACGAGTATGTGCTTTATAAAATACTCTCGTTATTTCCTTTAGGCTGCGCTGCGCCTCCCTTCCGTTTCCGCCTTTTTCGCCTTTTCCAGGTCGACAGGAGAAGGTATCAGAAGAGCCCAAGGCGTTCATAATTTTTGTGCCTTTTGAAATCTGCGCGGAGCGGAGCGGAGCGGAGCGGGCACAGGAGGCACTCGCTAAAAGGAATCATGCCGACATTATGCCATTACATTTGCATAATTATCGTTATGTGTGTGGTGGCACTCACACACTCACACACTCACACACTCAGCCACTTGGCTTCGCCGAGTAAATGTTTGCATTTATTTGCATTTAAACGGAGTCGAATAAATATGAAAGCTCAGCACTTGCGAGCAGGGGGCAGGGGATAAACGGCGATGTCAATCGGCTGGGGGACCGGAGCCACAACTTTAAATTGAATTCAAATTGAAAAAGTTTCCTCTGCTGCCAGTAGATGTCCCTCGGTGGCCTGGAGCTGCTTTTCCAACTAGAGTCACCTGTTGCCCAAGGCCAAACCCGCGGGAGCTGCAGTTGATCAACAGGTGCAGCCAGGAATCCGGCAACTAGAAGTATTCGCTCCCGCTAGGAGTTACATTCAACTTGTCCCATTTTATTGGAACACTTTGCGCATTTTGCAATAGAGTGACCATTAGTGCGCAACTACTCATTTTGCTCCTCATTTTGGAATAATAGCTTCAACTGAAGCCATATGGAACTGCTGAAAACATGCGAGTATTGTTTGCCACAGACAAGGGTTTAATTAGGCACAAGAAAAATCAAACAGTTGGGAACATTTCCGGACACCTTTTAATCCCAAAACTTGTGCCTTATTTCCTTAATTTTTAACCAAGACCACAGAGAAGGATGCCCCAATTCATCCGATCGAGGAACCAAACTATTTCGCACTCAAGTTTCTTAAAGCCCTAAATTATTCTCATCCTTGTATTCCTGAAAAGGAGGCAAGCGGCAGAAGACGAATGAGAGTCGTCTTGTCCTCACTGGCATTTCCTCATCCAACTGCCAGGCACCAGAAGTGGGTCGCCTGCGCCCACCCTTGCCTATCATGTGCCCCTGGCCACAGCTCCGGGTGTCCAACCAAGTGCTCAAGGTCGGCAAGGCCCGATGGCAAGAACACTGATGTGGGAAAGCCAGAAAGCGACATCCTGCCGCATTCCTGCGCAAAGGAGCAATGTGAAATTTCCAATTAGGTAGCATCTGGTGCCAGTAACTCCGGGACCAGCACCGGGAAATTCAATAGTTCGTGATGCGGGGCGGGGCAGGGCGCTCTGCCCGAAAATGTGAGCTCGTCTGGGAGCTGGAAGTCTGTCGAATGAAAATCAATGTCACAATGTTTGAGCGCCAGCTGACAAGCCATCCCGGCCAGCTCCGCATCCTGCAGCCGTTCGAAATGGACGCAGGACGTGTGAAATGTAGTCCTGGAAAGGACGGGATTCTCGGCGCCTTGCCAGAACTTCTTCTCCTCTTCTGCTCGAGCATAAGCTGCAACTGAAACCGCAACACCACGCTTGCAATTGGGCACATCACCAATTAGCAGTACGAAGTACGGCACGGAATTTGAATAACAATTCGGCGTAAGCCCCACTCGTATTATTCATTATTCTCGCTCATTTTGAAGCATTCAGACGATTACCAAATTGGAAAATGTTACAAATTTTTGCGGATTAACGGCAGCAATAAAGAGCGGAGCCGCTTGTGTCTGTGTGCGAATGTGTGGGCGTTGTGTTTGTGTGTGTGCTTGTGTGTGTGTGCGGCAGACAGTCGCAATCAAATCCGCAATTCTAGCCACCCAAGCCACTGGCCTCGCTTTTCCAGCACACACACAGACACTTGTTGAAAATCATAAAAATTTGATGTACTTAAAATTTTCATAAAGCTGCCAAACAATGCCCAACATGAAGAGCAACAAAAACAAAGTCGGTTGCAAAAAATGTTTTAAACTTGCCAACTTGTTTGGGCTTCGTTGGGAATAATAAAACGAAATAAAACCGAAAAAACACTGACAAACGAGCAATCAAATTTGTTTAAATGCAATTCTGCGGACTTTTTTTGAATGCCGGTTTCCGGTTGTTATTCTTTTTGCTTTTTTGTTTCTTTTGGTTTTTTGTTTTGAGCGCAGTGCAATGCGGAGTAAAGTATACGAACTTTGCAGCGGAAATTCCAAACGAGGCCTGCAGTAAGCAATTGAGCGTTAAATCGGCGGGAAATCGAAGCAAGGGAAGCCCAGAATAAATAAACTGAAAAACAGGCAAGTGGAGTCAAGTGCGCTTACAAAAATATATGTATTTATGGGCAGCACTACTTTTAACTGGCAAAGAATAAAGTCAAACAGGAAGAACAATAGCTATATATCATCCGTCTTGAATTGCCCAATAAACAAATACATTCTCGGATAACTTATAGCGCTTCCTAACTTATCAATGTTGACTTCATTTGCAACTCGGTATAAAATGCTGGCACTGCAGCCCTAGCTTACATTTAAGTGATTCCGACTAAAGTATTCCAGTTCCCCCCATTGAACAATAAACTGGCAAATTCTGGCGCCCCTGGCTGGTGGAATCCAGTGATAATTATGCGACCATATTTTGGCAGCTCGATATCGGTCGAGAATGGGCATTAACATGAACATGAACCTAACGACTAACTGTTGCCAGCGGAATGTGCGTCCAAATCGCGACGAGGTGTTCCTAATGGGATTATGTTCGTCGGGTTGGAGGAGCAGCCGATTCTTTGTCGCCGCCTGGCACGATATATATTATATGCCATATAAATGCAGGATACTCGGCCTCCTTGAAGAAAAACTGGTACTGGAAGTGGAAGTGGAAGTGGCACAACTATCGTGCATCCATCGCATTAATTCAGGGAGGGATCGCCATTTTCTGGGATGGTGCGTGCGTGCCGATAGCGAACTAAGTGCAAGTGGCGTTTGCTAATTGTTGCCCATGTTTTTCTGCTGACAATTCGCTTTCGGCCAAATAATTCATGCAAAACTCGCGAAATTGTCACGCAACCCAGTTCACAATGCGGCGATGATGATGAGACGCTGTTAATTAATTAATTATCCCCCGCCGACGGGGCGGCGGTTTCCTGATTTATGATAAGAACACTTTGCCCCACTCCGCTGCCCCCCAGTTTCCCGTGTACAATTTGCGATTTGGTGAAAATGATTTCCTCCTGGCGCCCAACACGCAAAAGTGACATTTTTATTGTTGGCGTTTTGCATGTCGAGGGGATGCCTGGCTGTCCTTAGAGAAAAGCCAAGGTGAGGGGGTGCGGGGGTGCGGGGGGTTGGCCTGGGTGCTGTATCATCATTAGGCCAACTCATTTTTGTCCTGCGCAGCGTGGGACGCGTGCATCATGTTGCAAACAGCCAGATGGGCCAGAAGCAGCGAGTAAGGACGCAGGACCTTAAGGTGGCCCATGTTGACGATGCTAATTAGCCTCCGCTCTGCCACTGTCCTCGACATCAGCTGGCTACGCCCCGAGTGGGTCGAAGGACACCCTCGTCCTTCGTCCTGCACAACAAACCAACTGGCGGTCGCCGGAGGCAAAAGTTATGGTGAACAAAAGGTCTGCGGAGTGCTATTACCTGCTATGACAATTCCAACCGCAGTTTCAAAGGGAACTCGAGGATTTCAGCCGAAAAATGATTTAATTTCCAGCCTTGCGAATCGGCATTTGCTTAAAGTCTTTATAATTTGATGTAGCAGGACTCAAGACAGACAGTTCTATATTCTGCTGATGGGCATCATCTTTAAACTGATAAACGCCATACTTACGTTCATCGCTTTGTACGAGCTTAATTGTCAACTGTTGAGGCATGTCCTGGACTTACTGCTCCTCGCACAACTCTCGAAGGATTCCCGATGTGGCAATCGCCATTCGCATCTTTGGACACTCAATAACCGGCCAGTCAGCAGTTGTGCGCCCAGACTCCTGCCTGTCAGTTGTCCCATTTTCGATTCCATCAGATTTTGTGTATTCGTAGCAGCAACGGTGGTATTATCATCAATTCCAGTGTCTGGCAATGGTTCCACCGCTCCTGCTCCCGTCCCACTGCCCGCCCACAGCAGCCCTTGGATTTCTTTCATCCGAGTTGGTCGTCCTTAAAATATTTTCGGAGCAATGTTTCCATAAATACACAACACAGGATCACAGGACGGGAAAAGTGGATATGGCGGTGGGAGAGGGAGGCCGTCAAGGGAACAAGGGACTCAAAAACAGGCACGCTCCAAAATTCGGCACGCTTTAGGTGTGTGAGTGCTCGGTATCTTTGTGTGAGTGTGAGTGTGAGTGTGTGGGTGGCCGGCCATAAGCAACATAAGCAAACGCGAAAGAAGAATAAATAAAAGCTCTGCTCGACCATTGTTTGCTTAGTAATACACACACACACACACACACACACACACATACACACGCACACGTATATACACAGCGAACACGACACGCGCACGGAAAAAAAATCATAATTCCGCGAACCACAGTGCGTATACGCAATACGGGCAGCAGTGCTAAAATCGCGTTGCCAGAAGTTGTATGAATAATAAAAGCCAAAAATTGGCCTTCGAGTGAAGCGAAATGAAATTAGACAACATTTCTGATGACTTTCTGCTCTGTTTGGGTCTAAAATTGCCCGGGATTGTATTTTTGGCATTTCGGATTGGTTTTTGGTAGGTAGAACTGGGGGAACTGGGGGAACTGGGGGAACCAGGCGAAGCCAGAAAGAAGGGGCCAGTCGAGCCGACAATTTGTCAATTGACGCGCATCCAGGCGCTGGCAGCTCCTTCCGCCCGACTGCCTCTCAATGCCAGGACACCAAGTCAATTTTCATAGACATTTCACTGCAGTCCATCATTCGGCCCGCCCCCTTTTCCAGTACCCTTTTGCACGGTCTTTAGAGCCTTTCGAGTCCATCTGGCTGGAATAAATACATTTGCTTCGTCTGCTCTGCGCCCGACATGATCGTTCGTCGAATCGAGGACGCTGCGAAGTCCTTTTGTCTGCTGCACAAGCTGCGACATCAAAGGCTTGCAGGAGGCGACCACAACGGGCTAACAATCGGTGGTGGTGGCCAGCAGCTGCAGATGCTTCTCCTCGGGCAACTGCACATTACCAGGATGCTGACTATCCAGAGCCGACTGTTCCATCTGCTCCTGATCCTGTTGCTGCTGCTTGTCCCGCTGGCAAAGCTCAGCTCTGATCCGGATGTCCTTGGTCTTTGACACACCCTCTGATTCAATGGGCTCCGTGGCCTCGTAGGCATTTATCCAGAGCATGGCGGCCAGCGCGGTCATCAGACCGCCCATGATGGCCCACTCCCAGCGCAGGTAGACTTCGGTGGAGACGCCCAGGTAGCGCCGCAGCACGAACTGGGTGGACAGGTGGAGGATGTGCTCCACGCTGCACCAGAGCCACAGGGCCAGGACCTCCATGAAGGCCACGCCCAGCACCAGTTCGACGAGGAAGGCGGCCAGCCTGCCCATCCGGCGGCGATATCGCGTGGGCAGCACCTCCAGGTCGTGCAGGAAGTGCAGGATGGCGCAGTAGGCAATGTGGCCGGCGTAGATGGTGCCGGGAATCACCGGGAATCGCTCTATGTCCAACAGACAGCTGCCACGCAATCCGAAGTGCAGAACGCTGGCAATCAGGAGCACCAGTGTGGAGGTCATCGCGACGATTGAGTATGGCGAATTTGTTCAATTTTCCTAACTTTATTTGGAGCTTTTCCTATTTTTCCTGAAAAGTGAAAGGCCGAAAGGTGTGTGTGTGTGTGCGTCAGCTTCAACGAGTCGTTGTGATTTGCTTATGTAAAGCTGGTTGCCCGGGCTCTGAAGTTTCGAGCACTTTGGCGTGGAGTACGTGATCGAAGGAAAGCATTTCCTAACGACAAGAACTAGTAACGAATGCTCCTGCGACGGAGAAAATACACTATCCAAGTTCGTTATTCAGCCGTATGAATAATTCGTTACTGCTTAACTTTTACAGTAACTTTTGTACAAAGTTGTAGGAAAAGTAAAAAAAGCCGCTGGCTATCAATCGCAATATTCTTGCCGAATTTTAAGCTGTGTGTCAGTGCCTCCAAAATTATTCTTTCGTTTTTCAATTGCCTCGGCGCGGACTTAGCACGATTTGTGAAAATGCGGAAAAGAGCCAACTTCCACCTACAGACGAGCTAATTCCGGGCTTAGCCATATTCGCAATTAATTGTAATTCGTTCTGGCGCAGACAAGCTCCGTGCATTTAGCAGTGCGCCAGGTCATTAGGTGACCCCAGTTCTCCGCTGGCCGGCCGCCCCGCCCTCCTAATCCCTTGTCACGCCCATTTATGTTCATAAATTATGCAGTCAACCTCTGATGCTCATTGACCCAGAGGAAAACCCCCGTAGCCCCACCTTTTCAATGGGGCAGCTGTCGAAATGTTATTTCTTTCCTTATTTCTGCCTCATTTTTTGTGCTGGAAAAGCGGGCGGGGAAAACCGTTTGATCCCTTCCGGCTTAGCTGGGACTAAAAGTAGAGCACGACGAAAATAAAATTAAAAAAACAGACTGATAGCGGCTGGGTTAATCGGAAGTGGACTGGTGGACTTAGGAAGGCTCATTGGACAACTCAGCGGCAGACACAACTTTAAATTTATTACAAGCTAGGCCCAAAATTATGTATTTCCCATTAATGTGTCCCCTTTTCGGACACAAACGCAGATACTTCTTATATCGGTATTGGTTTTCGTGCCATCCGCTGGCTGGAACCATATTTTGCATTGGGAGTTGGCTTTGATTAAAAGGTTGGATACCATCCCCAGTCAATTCGTATTTTTTGTTTTCTGATTTTGGGCAGCTTGACTTGCTGCCAGCCAGTCCATTGAAAGTTTTGTTTTCTGGGTTCCTCCGTCCCGCCAACGAAGCACGTACAATGGACTTGGGGAAATGGGAAAACTGGGGAAATGTGGAAATGGGGAAATGGGGAAATGGTGAAATGGGGACATGGGAAGTGATATCCCCTAAGAACGCACACTATTTGCTTATGCAGATTTCGACCAACATTTCGCATTTGTTTTCGGCAAGCAGCAGCAGAAAGTGAAATGTGAAATGTTGCAACAAAAGGGGTCACCAGATTTTTCTGATATCATATGATATATGAGTGTTCTATGGGCCCTTTTGTCTCTGCCACTTCCCACTTCCCACTTGCCACTCTCCGCTTTGGCATGCATATATTTATGTTAAATTCATGATATTTAAATTAGTTAGCCAACAGTTTGTCCTTGGTCCCTTGTTGGTGCCCTGACCTTTGCCTCTTGGGGTTTGCCGCCGCACAAAAGGCCACCCGGCTGCAGTGGCCAAACATTCAATTATGAGGCCTCCAGCCTTCGAGTTTCTGTGTGTCTGACTTTGACTTTGGCTCTGGATTTCCAGCTCCAGCTTTTGGCCTAAGCTCATCTGCCATTAGCATTTCAAATGCCACGCATGGTGGCAAGTGAGTGTTGGGGGATATCAAACTTTAACCATTTGCCTGCGAGCGGCCAACGACAAAAAGCAACGCAAGCTGGCAAAAGTTTGCCATCATATATCTTGTCAGTGTGCGATGCATACGTTATCGGCCCTTCTTTCCTTCTAGCAGAGCCTGACCCCTGACCCCTGACCCCTGACCCCCTTTCATTGGCCGCACTGGTCAAGTAAATGAGTTCTCCTGCGGCTTTTCCACATTTGTTTTTGCGTGCCTTGCCATTTGACAGATCAAAGACCGACTAATACACGAGCAAACAACAAACACACTCGCACAGATCGGAAGCCACATCGGAAATGGATATTTAATTAAAGTTCTCGGCTTTGTCGTCGACTTTTCTTTGTCTGCCATTCGAATTTCCCCGATGGAAAATTGAAATTGCCTAATGTTAAAATGATGGCCACACAAAGGTGTGCAAACATTTCCTTAGACTCGTAGAAGATGATTGTGCAAATAATGTAATACAATGAGCATTTAAGAACATTTTAACTAAAAATGTTTCTGGAGTTTCTCCATTCAAATTTAGAATTTATTTTTTTTTTCTTTGTAAATTTTTCTTATGTAAAAATTCAATAATGTCCAAAGACTAAAGTTCTAAAGTCCATAACTCAACCAATCTTTATCGGATTTTTAAGTGGCATACCTTTAAATGTTTCTGGAGCAATTCTCTAAAAATCTGCATTCAAATTTAGAAATTTATTTTTTTTTTCATTTTTTGTAATTTTTTTGATGCAGAAATCCAAAAGAACTGCGAAATGTCCGAATGCTGAAGTTCTGAAGTCCATAACTCAACTAATATTAATCGGATTTTGAAGTGGCATACCTCAAAATGCTTCTGGCGCAATTCTCTAACAATCTGCATTCAAATTTAGAAATTTATTTTTTTTTTCATTTTTTGTAATTTTTTTGATGCAGAAATCCAAAAGAACTGCGAAATGTCCGAATGCTGAAGTTCTGAAGTCCATAACTCAACTAATACTAATCGGATTTTGAAGTGGCATACCTTTAAATGTTTCTGGAGCAATTCTCTAAAAATCTGCATTCAAATTTAGAAATTTATTTTTTTTTTCATTTTTTGTAATTTTTTTGATGCAGAAATCCAAAAGAACTGCGAAATGTCCGAATGCTGAAGTTCTGAAGTCCATAACTCAACTAATATTAATCGGATTTTGAAGTGGCATACCTTTAAATGTTTCTGGAGCAATTCTCTAAAAATCTGCATTCAAATTTAGAAATTTATTTTTTTTTTTCATTTTTTGTAATTTTTTTGATGCAGAAATCCAAAAGAACTGCGAAATGTCCGAATGCTGAAGTTCTGAAGTCCATAACTCAACTAATACTAATCGGATTTTGAAGTGGCATACCTTTAAATGTTTCTGGAGCAATTCTCTAAAAATCTGCATTCAAATTTAGAAATTTATTTTTTTTTTCATTTTTTGTAATTTTTTTGATGCAGAAATCCAAAAGAACTGCGAAATGTCCGAATGCTGAAGTTCTGAAGTCCATAACTCAACTAATATTAATCGGATTTTGAAGTGGCATACCTTTAAATGTTTCTGGAGCAATTCTCTAACAATCTGCATTCAAATTTATAAATTTATTTTTTTTTTCATTTTTTGTAATTTTTTTGATGCAGAAATCCAAAAGAACTGCGAAATGTCCGAATGCTGAAGTTCTGAAGTCCATAACTCAACTAATACTAATCGGATTTTGAAGTGGCATACCTTTAAATGTTTCTGGAGCAATTCTCTAAAAATCTGCATTCAAATTTAGAAATTTATTTTTTTTTTCATTTTTTGTAATTTTTTTGATGCAGAAATCCAAAAGAACTGCGAAATGTCCGAATGCTGAAGTTCTGAAGTCCATAACTCAACTAATACTAATCGGATTTTGAAGTGGCATACCTTTAAATGTTTCTGGAGCAATTCTCTAAAAATCTGCATTCAAATTTAGAAATTTATTTTTTTTTTCATTTTTTGTAATTTTTTTGTGCAGAAATCCAAAAGAACTGCGGAATGTCCGAATTCTGAACTTCTGAAGTCCATAACTCAACTAATACTAATCGGATTTTGAAGTGGCATACCTTTAAATGTTTCTGGAGCAATTCTCTAAAAATCTGCATTCAAATTTATAAATTTTTTTTTTTTTTCATATTTTGTAATTTTTTTGATGCAGAAATCCAAAAGAACTGCGAAATGTCCGAATTCTGAAGTTCTGAAGTCCATAACTCAACTAATACTAATCGGATTTTGAAGTGGCATACCTTTAAATGTTTCTGGAGCAATTCTCTAAAAATCTGCATTCAAATTTAGAAATTTATTTTTTTTTTCATTTTTTGTAATTTTTTTGATGCAGAAATCCAAAAGAACTGCGAAATGTCCAAATGCTGAAGTTCTGAAGTCCATAACTCAACTAATACTAATCGGATTTTGAAGTGGCATACCTTTAAATGTTTCTGGAGCAATTCTCTAAAAATCTGCATTCAAATTTATAAATTTATTTTTTTTTTCATTTTTTGTAATTTTTTTGATGCAGAAATCCAAAAGAACTGCGAAATGTCCGAATGCTGAAGTTCTGAAGTCCATAACTCAACTAATACTAATCGGATTTTGAAGTGGCATACCTTTAAATGTTTCTGGAGCAATTCTCTAAAAATCTGCATTCAAATTTGGAAATTTATTTTTTTTTTCATTTTTTGTAATTTTTTTGATGCAGAAATCCAAAAGAACTGCGAAATGTCCCAAGGCTGAAGTTCTGAAGTCCATAACTCAACTAATACTAATCGGATTTTGAAGTGGAGCAATTCTCTAAAAATCTGCATTCAAATTTAGAAATTTATTTTTTTTTTCATTTTTTGTAATTTTTTTGATGCAGAAATCCAAAAGAACTGCGGAATGTCCGAATCCTGAACTTCTGAAGTCCATAACTCAACTAATACTAATCGGATTTTGAAGTGGCATACCTTTAAATGTTTCTGGAGCAATTCTCTAAAAATCTGCATTCAAATTTAGAAATTTATTTTTTTTTTCATTTTTTGTAATTTTTTTGATGCAGAAATCCAAAAGAACTGCGAAATGTCCAAATGCTGAAGTTCTGAAGTCCATAACTCAACTAATACTAATCGGATTTTGAAGTGGCATACCTTTAAATGTTTCTGGAGCAATTCTCTAAAAATCTGCATTCAAATTTATAAATTTATTTTTTTTTTCATTTTTTGTAATTTTTTTGATGCAGAAATCCAAAAGAACTGCGAAATGTCCGAATGCTGAAGTTCTGAAGTCCATAACTCAACTAATACTAATCGGATTTTGAAGTGGCATA